TGGGAGCTCGAGCTGTCATTGAGGTCTATCCATAAGGTTGTGCTCCCAAAGTAAGATGTTTACATATGTTATGGATTGTTGTGTGCTCGCTCTAAGGATGCAAAAATAAAGGAGCGCCTTGTCATTTTCCAAAGAGAAGTCCTAGGTAGATCATAGAATAGCAAGGCGGTTATGTCTTGTTACCTTATGATACCTGTGGAACTTTCTTTTGGAAGAAATAGTATGCAGACAGAGTGCTTATCATATATGCTTTGTGTACAATATCATATACCATAAGATCAAGTCGTGTATTTGTTATCGAAACCTTGTCTTCTATATGGTCCAAAAATATTTAGCAAATTTTAATTATGCCCTCTCTAGGGCCTCTAGTGGTTTCTTTGTAGCTCAGAATGAAGTTGCGTTCATAATGAATTTCCTATATCCAACAGGTTCACCTCAATACACTTAGGTGAGTCTTGGATTCTAACCAATACATATGGACCCTATCAAGTCAAAACCTTAACTACTTTCATTGACTGATTCCAAAATGTGCATGCCAGTTTATCAGGCTTAGTTGGTGAAAGTGCGTTATATCGACTAGAGGGGGGGGGGGGTGAATAGGCGATTTTTATGAATTCTTCACTGAGGAATTTGCCGGTGAGGAAATTCCTTAGCGAAGAACTACTTGCAGCGGAATAAGCACTCAGAAGTAAGCATAGCAGAATACATGCATGGTCATCATGATGAAATGAAGACAATCAAAGAGTACAGAAAGCGTAAACACAGGATAGCACAAGATGAAGACAAACAGACTGAAGAAATTGAACTGAGAAAATAGAGAAAGTCTTCAGTCAAAGTCTTCAAACACAGATATGAACAAACAGTTAACACAGTAATGAGGAAATGAATGGGTTGAGGAAATGGAACCAGTTAGGTTGGTGAAGACAATAATTTGGTAGACCAGTTCCAACTGTTGTCTCAGTTGTACGTCTGGTTGGAGCGGCTGAGTATTTAAACTCGAGGACACACAGTCCCGGACACCCAGTCTCTGAGCACGCAGCTCAGGACACCCAGTCCTCACCGTAATCTCCTTGAACTAAGGTCACACAGACCTCGTCCAATCACTCGTGCTAAGTCTTCAGGCGACTTCCAAACCTTCACAGATTTGGTCACTCGGCGATCCACAATTCCTCTTGGATGCTCTAGACCATGACGCCTAACCGTCTGGAAGAAGCACAGTCTTCAAAGGTAACAAGCGTCGGATCCACGCAGGATCAATCTCTTCAGTGATGCTCAATCACTTTGGGTTTGTAGGGGTTTGGTTTTTGGGTTTTTCCTCACTCGATGATTTTCAATCAAAGTCCTCGGAGGATGGGTTGCTCTCAAATGACAAGTGTTAAGTTCTCGCGGAGCAGCCAACCAGCTAGTGGTTGTAGGGGGCAGCTATTTATAGCCTAGGGAGCAGCCCGACATGATAAGACATAAATGCCCTTCAATGATATGACCGTTAGGTGGATAAGATATTTTGGGACAACTGGCGCGCAGCACAACAACGGTCGGAAATTTGACTCTCAAATTCCTCAGGGCTATCATGTTCCTCACTGTGTAGGCAATTCGCACTGGCGAATTCCTAACTCCTCAGTCAGAACAAATTCCTCAGCGACCAGAAGAACTTCATCTCTGTCACTGATGAAATTGACTAAACTGTATGAGATTTCCAAAGGCTTCACTCGAAGGAATTGGTAGGTGTAGGATTTTGAGTTGAGCATCACATAGAAATTTTTCCTTAGTATTTCCTCGACCCCCTTTAACAGTACGGTGTTTCCTATGACTCAAGAAAGAGAAAAACGAAACTATGAAAACAAAAGTCTTCGCGCTTCATGTTCCTCAAATGAATACCAAGTCTTCAAGGTCACACCAATTTCTTCACTTTCAAAGTCTTCAGAAAGTCTTCAGAATACCAAAGTCTTCAATTGAAGAACTTCATTTTTAGGGGTCGACTTTCTCTGTAAATATCAAACTCCTCATAGACTTAAAGACCTGTGTACACTCATAAACACATTAGTCCCTTAACCTATAAGTCTTCAATACACCAAAATCACTAAGGGGCACTAGATGCACTTACAATCTCCCCCTTTTTGGTGATTGATGACAATATAGGTTAAGTTTTCAACGGGGATAAACATATGAAGTGTAAATACTGATTTTGAGGAATTTGATTGCAAGATATAGAAGAACTCCCCCTGAAGATGTGCATAGTGAGGAATTTTCTTTTGAGGCAATGCACACTTGAAGAGTTGAATCATGGAGATCTCCCCCTATATCTTGTAATTCATACACGCATTTGATATATAATATGAAGAATTTGAAATGCATGATGAAATATGGTGCCTGATGAAATTCAGCATGCGTGCAATAATATTAATGAGGAATAAGCATGCGGAAAAATGCATCCAAAGTATCAGAGCTAGTGCAACAAAAGTATCAGCGCACCATCGGGTTTAAGATTACAACTCGATCCAATATAGTTTCAGAAGAACGAGAGTTGTAACTTAGCAAAAAAATGCGATATATGCCCATATGATAGACCCGCTTGAAGACTAACTCAAATTTCTCCCCCTTTGTCATCAAATGACCAAAAGGATCGAAACTGAGGACTAACGCCCCTGAAGAATATCAAGTTGATGGAGGAGCGCCAGCGTTGTCGGGGTCGGTTGTTGTAGTAGGGCCTGCCGCAGTGTCGTCCAAATCTTCATTTTCATCAGTGTCGCGCGATGAAGAATATAAGCTGGCCACCACTGGAGGAACCTTGACCCTCTTGAATTTCTTCGGCGGAGGTGCAGACCAGTCAAATTCTTCCTTGAGACCCATCGTCTTCAGTTCTTCAGCGCTATAGACATGAGAAAGAACAGCCCAGGTGCGGTTGAATGTTTCATGAAGGTAGTACTGGTTCTTCTTCACTGCATTGTGTGTTGAGGTCATGTTGTGAAGAATTGAACCAAGCTGACGTTTGACCCATTTATGATTGCGATCAACCTTCTGATGAAGACTGAGGAGTAACTCACGATCAGTCATCACCCTGGGTGTTGTAGCTTGAGGATTTTGCTTGGCTGAGGTATTTGCGGCAGAGTCATGAGTGGCAGAGTCGTCATTGGTAGAGTAAGATGCTGCTTTACGGAATTGACCATCCAATGGACGAATGCCTTCATCTATCACAGCAGCGGCCTTGCCTTTGTCATCAGCTGAGGAAACTGTCCGTTTGAGGACTTCAATTGGAGGCAAGTAGCTGTAGTGGTTCAGAGTATCAACTTTGTAATTGAGTGAAGACCTTGTCCTGATGAATCTCATTATCCAAGGCGCATAAGGCTTCAGCTCAAATGGTGACATAGCAATGTTGGCCAGAGTCCTCATGAAGAAATCATAGAAGTTTATGGGAACGCCATGAATGATGTTGAAAAGCATATTCTTCATGATGCCAACGGCTTCTTCATCATTTGAGTCGTGGCCTTTGATAGGACTCATTGTCTTCGTCAGAATCCGATAGACAGTCCGAGGCACATACAATAATTCCTTGACGAGGAATTTGGTTCTTGGGGCCTGCCTTGGCTTCAAAGGCTTCATTAGCACTTGCATATAGTGATTTGTCAGTTCAGGGTCATTGTAGATGCAACGTGCACTATCAAGGGGAGGACTGAGAGGAAGGACACGAAGCAATTCAGTTGCTGGTGCCTTGTAGTGAGTGTTTCCAGACATCCAGTCCAACACCCATGAGTTCACGTCTTCAGCATCTACAGTGATATGCAGTGTCGTGTAGAACTGAAGAATAAGTTCTTCATTCCAATCGCAGATGTCAGTGCAGAAATTCAGTAGTCCTGCATCGTGAAGAACATTGAGGACTGGCTCGAAGCACGGTAGAGATTCCATGTCCACATGAGGAATATGTGCATGATCTAAGATTTTGTCCTTGTTGAATAGCATAGAGGAATAGAAATTTGCTTGGCTGGCAGTCCAGAACCGCCTCTTCCTTATGCGAGCAGAGTCATAAGGATTGTAATCAGTGAAGAAAACATGCTCGCCATAGAAGTCTTCAGCCTTGAACTTCTGTTTACTTGAGAACGGATTCTTTGGCTTTGGCAGAGGGGTGTCAGTGAGTTGCATCACCACCTCAGGAATCACGAGCTCAGGTTCTTCAGGCTGAGGAATTTCTGGTTCCTCTTCATGTGCAGTCTGAGGATCAACAACAACAGCAGGTTCTTCAGCACTAGCGGCTGGAATTTCTTCATGCACAGAGCCCAGTTGAACTGTTGGTGCAGGGGACTGAGGAATTTGTTGGATTGGGGTGAAGAGTGGTGAATTTGGATGCTGACTATCCCAGAAGTCATCATCCATCACGGGCGTTGTGCTTCCAATATCCACATCTTCATCTTCAATTTCCTCAACACCAGCCTCTTCAGCTGTGAACTGAGGCATAGGTGAGGAAATGATTGGCGTTGAGGGGATAGCATCCACCTCAATTTCTTCATCAATCTGCTCTAACGAAGCAGCAGAATGATTTTCTTCATCAGATCCGCTTGGGATCACATAGTCTTCACCAAAAGGAACAAGGTCCTTTGATGGAATTGAGGAAATAGGAACATCATCAATTGGATTTTCAAAGGAGCTGGTCATTGGCTTCATTTTCTTCGCAGCCGAAGAATTTGACGCAGCTGATGCCTTCCTTTTCTTCACAGCAGCTCGCTCTTCAGCTTTAGTCTTCTTCACATCAGAGGCAGATGGAAGAATTGGAGTTGTTGTTGGCGTAGGAGGAGCTGAGGAGTAAGGATGAATTTCCTCAGGCGCAACTGATGCAGTTGCCCTGATCTCTTCAGTTTCTTCAGGCGCACCACTAGTGGATTCCCTGGCAATTTCTTCAGCGGCTGGAATTGAGTCATCAGCCCTGGAACTAGCATTGTCATCAGCAGGCTGAAAATCATCAGCCGTGCTGGCATGTTCTTCAGCAGGCTGAGCAGAAGCTGCAGCCTGAGGAATTTCCTGTTGCGTTGGGGTTGCAACATTT